CAAAACCACATCCAGGAAATAAATACCACTTCCAGATGGGAACTGCAGCAAAGCAGGAGCCTAAGTAACTGCTGCAGTTTTAGCACCTGTGTAGGGATGTCTGCAGCCCCCCACTGACCAGTACCCAACAGCGCTGCCCACCTTCACCCAGAACTCACACCCAGCACCACAGTGAAACGAGTCAGTGTGTCCTGGGGGACGCGGGGCTCGCGCAGCTGCCGTGTTACAGCGCTACTCACCAGGACTCGGGCTTGTTCGGGGGTGAGAACATCCCCTTCTTTGCAGACTTCATAATCCGAAAGCAGCGTCACCACTCCTGCAGGACCAGAAGCTCCTGAAGCAGGCTCAGAAACCCTGGAAGAGCCCAGGGAAAAGCAGGGCTCTCTCGAACACCACCATCCCATGCAAACACTGAAACTCCCCAGGAAGGTGAGGGAGAGAAGCTCTAAAACCCCCTACATCTAGTTTGTGGACAGGACACAGACGTACTGGTGGTCTCCACTGAAGGAAGATGGTACCCAAAAGCTGGTTGCTTGCTCATGCTCTGACAGTGGTTTGGGAAGAGCAGCACACGAATATAATGAGTTCTGGCACCAGCCAAAGAAGAATAAAGCTGCGCACGGGATTGTCTCCAAAACTAACCTCCCTTGTTCATCATTCTCCTTCAAAGACGTTACCTGTGCGGGTGAAAGCCAAGCTCACCCTCTCAGCCCTGTCACCTACCTTTCTTCAGCGCCGTGGGCAGCCCCAGCTGCCGCAGCTGAGGCTCCATGGAGTGAGGAAACTGCTCCAGGGGTCCCGTGTCCAGGCTCACTGTGTACGTCGCCTTGTTCCCTGCGCGGGCATAGTCCACCTCTTTGAATGTGGAGAACCACCTGGGACACGGACAGGCAACAAGAGCTTCAGCTGCAGTGAGTTGCTCCCTACTTTTGGAATGATGAGTGGGAAAGCCTCACACGACCCCACTGCTTCAAGAGCGATGTAGACAAGGAGAAGGGAAACAAGCAGCTGCTCCGTGCTTCAGCCCTCGCTGCACTGACGGGTACTTACTCGTCCACCTCTTCTTTGGTGCGGTTGGTGAAGAGGAGACCGACTTCTCCCCGCAGGTATTTGCTGACCTGAAAGACAGAAGCCATCACGG